CACAATGTTTACCTACGAACCGGCAATCCCGTCTGCAGACGGCCAAAAGCAAACTGGGTTTTTATATGTCGGCAAGCCGGTCTGTGTTCGAAAGCAATTTTCTCCATTTCGAATGGTGACATAATTATAAAACTTATATTAAAATACGGTGCTTTTAACTACGAAATCCACCGAATATTTTTATATCAAAAAATTTTTCTAAATAAAAAATTTCTTTAATTACGAAATTACTAAATAGCAAGAAATAGTTAATTTTAACCGTGTCTTTCACAATCTGTAATTCAACTGCCGATTAAAATAAAACGGATTGACATAACGGATTCAAATTTACTCCGCCGTAAGGGTACGATTTTTGTCTAAAGATCGTGGCATACTAATATAGAAAAAAAAATATAGGTGCACTAAAAAGGTGTTTAGTTAACGACCGTCTGNAATTACACTGTACGGCAAAGTCATTTTTTTTTGTGTATTGGACCAAACCAATTTTTTTTAAGAGCTTGAGCTATAGGTAAAACAGTGACTTCTCCGTTTTTCGAAGTTGGCCTCCGAAATCGAGATATGGGCCTTCGAAGATCGAAATAGGACCTTTGGTAAAAAATTATATTAAATTATTACATGTAAATAACTAAAAACCTAAAAATATAGGCGTAGTACTCCTTTTGCTCTTATTTAAATGGTATAAAAATTTTTTTGTGCAGACTTATATTACAGGTGCTATAACGGGTCAAAGTTCCGGTCTTCGAAAAATTTTTTTCCTTATATTTCAAAAAATTTTGAACAGATTTTTAAACAATGCATATCGTTGTAAAGGTGTTTAAATCCGCTTACCTTCGATATGCATATTTGTATACTTCGTATATCAAAATTTTAGAAAAAGCACATTTAAGAGAAAAAATACCTTTTTTTATAAAAAAAAATATTTTAAACAAAAAAATTACAGGCCGATTTTTAAAAAATTGGTATCGTTTCTTTCATTTGATATGCATATTTGTATACTTCGTTTATATAAATTTGAGAAAAAACATTTAAAAGAAAAAATACCTTTTTTTTTAAAAAAAAGTATTTTAAACAAAAAAATTAATAACCAATTTTTAAAAGATTGGTATCGTTATAAAGGCGATTAAGCCTTCTTTCTTCTGATATGAATATTTAATATGTAAAAAAAAATTTTACAAAAAATTACTAACCGATTTTTAAAAAATTGGTATCGTTGTAAAATCAATTAAACCCCTTTCTTGTGAAATGCATACTTGTATACTTCGTATATAAAAACTTGAGAAAAATACCAATTTTTTCTTATAAAAAATATTATAAACGAAAAAATTACTGATTAGTAATACAATTGAATACGTTATTTAAAGCAAACAGAAAATTACCTTTAATTTTTATATAGAACCTGTTATGTAAAAAATCAAAAACCATGGTGTTTTTATATTTTTATATGCCTTAGACTTCTGTTACATATACTTTCGCTTTATTTTTAACGGGGGTGTGGGTGAACAAGACTAAACACTAGGGATGTGCCGGGTATCCGGTAGATATCCGGAAACCGGCCTATCCGGCCGTTTTTTGGTTATCCGGTTATCCGGCCGGATACTGGCTAATATCCGGCCGGATTCCGGATATCGATTATAGAAGATTCAATTTAGAAATTTAACCCAGATTTTGTATTTTTGTAATCCAATTTAATAGTGTCTAATTAGTAATCAGAGTTGCATTATCGGGCAACAACCTATTTCTATTTTCAACATAAATGTCACCCGATGCACTAAATACTCTTTCCGAGTTCACTGAGGAAGGTGGCGCGCAGAGATACTTCATTGCCAGTGTAAACAAATTTGGAAATTCTTTGCGGCTATACTTCCACCAAGTTAAGGGATCTTCTTGTCTGGATATAAGAGGTAGCTGCAAATATTTCTATATTTCTATTTCATAAATCTCTGCCTTTTTTCTTGTACGTTCGCTGCCTTGTCTACCAATCGTTTGGCTATCCATATCACTAGAAACACTAGAATCAGCATCAGAGCCGTTGGCGATTTCCTCAAAGCATTGCCAAATATCCTCGTGAGCTCGATCTTCGATGGAAGCTTTCACTATAGTTCGGCATTTTTCATATGATTCAACTGGTTTCTCCATGCTAACTGATTTATAATTTCGAATTAGTTCATCAACAACCCAGTTTTTAGCTTTATTGGCATCAGAAAAAAAACGAGTTTTGAAACGGTGCGAATCTGTTCCGAAAAAATGACAACAATGCCGCAACTATTTATTGGAACATTCACAGCTAGTGATAGAACTTTTTAGAAAGGTATCGATACTAGTACTCATATAGAATACTCTAAAAAAGTATCGATGCCACTACTCATATTTGCAAAAAAGTATCGATAATACTCGTACTTCCAAGAATTCTCAAAGCAAAGGCAAAAAGTAAACAAAAATCAGATTGCTTTGCTTTTTTCACCACTTCCTATTTGTAAATTGAACAGCTCTTAATAGTTTTAATCTGATCTAAAGGAGTTTATGGAATAAACTTCCGATAAATTAGTGTTACATGCGTAAATTAAATGTTTATAGCAAAAAGCTTATTTCCAAGTTTTTAAAAGCAAATATTTTATAATTGTTTGACGCGTACATGTATTCATAAATAACTTTACTTTGAAAATGAAATGCAAATGTAGAAGACGAGAAGCAAATGTGGTGAAGCCCATTCTCTGTTGGAAAAATAAGATCTCTTTTATAAAAATTTTCTTCAAGAATGGGCTGGATTTCACAACGAAGGTAGCATACATGGGTTACCGACGGCTGCCTTATGCTGGAGAGTGGCCAAGTTGTCGAGTTCATTATCAAAGGGGAGGCAAGATATTAGTTTTTCAATTACTTAAACATTTTTACATGAAGCCAATGTTGAAATGACCGTTACATTTTCTTCTAGGTTGTGTAAAAATTGCATAACTGTGTCAATAACCAGTAGCTCACTAGAACAAAATATGTGTTAATTATTAGTATTGGAGTATACATATCGTCGCCCGTATGCCATAAACANCAAACCTTTATGTACGAAGTATGCAAATATACAAATCAGAAGAAAGGAGATTTAACCGAATTTACAACGATACCAATTTTTAAAAAATTGGTTAGTAATTTTTGTGTTTAAAATGTGTTTTTTTTATAAAAAAAGGCATTTTTTTTATTTAAATGTGTTCTTTCTCAAAGTTTTATGTACGAAGTATACAAATATGCATATCAGAAGAAAGGGGATTTAATCACCTTNTAGTATTGGAGTATACATATCGTCGCCCGTATGCCATAAACATGAATGTGTATAAAAGAAAATTTTGGGAAATCAAGTTCGAAATTTTTTTGCGAGACTTAGCTCTACATTTGGGCAAACAAAATTGAAAAGTATTTTCTTTCCGTGTACGCATGATATTCTGGGGTTTGGTATAACATAGAAAATCCAAAGATAACCCAAGTCAACCCAATAACTCAAAACTGATAAATTTGCACATTCATGCTTCTGGCATGAGGGTTATGATATGTGAATTAAAAACTTTAAAGGCGTGTTTCTCGAGTTTTCGTAAAGTAAATGAGCTTTATGTTCATTTTCATAACATTCATATTGGATATTGAAGTTAATATTCGAACGTTCGTCACAATATTTATTGGGTAATTTAAAAAAAAAATTTACTTAAAAAGTTCTTAGCTCGTCGATATTTTTCGGCATTCGCGATATTTACTCAGTACTTGTGAAAAAGTATTGAGCTCTCGATACTACTCAGTACTTATGAAAAGTATCGATATTCTGTACTCGTTACTCGTATCGTTCTATCACTATTCACAGCTCTTCATTTCGTCGTGCCGAAATTGCAGACCTACGCGTTCGGAAACGAAAAAACTTAATAGGCGGGTTCTGTATAATTTAAACAAAAATTAACGTAAGAAAACAAAACATCTTGATTGTTCAAAAGCAAAGAATTTGATGAAGATTGTTTTTTGTTTGTTAATAAGATGCCATTTTTCACTGCGATAGTATCGCACAGATGTGTGCGTAATTGTGTTTTAGAAGTGGTAAATTCTGTAGCATCAGAAACGGTGCGGAGGTCGAGGTGAACTCGAGCCGGCAACAAAACAATATTGTGAAATTTATTAAAGGCAGCAGTCTACCGGATATCCGATCGGATATCCGAGTCCGGCTGTTATTTTTTACAGGATATCCGGAATCCGGTTATCCGGCAAAATCTATATCCGGCACATCCCTACTAAACACTATTAATTATTTGTTTTAGTTAAATACGGTATTCAATTGAATTACTAATTAGTAATTTTTTTGTATTTTTTTTTATAAGAAAAAATTGGTATTTTTTCCTTTTAAGTGTTTCTCAAATTTTTATATACGAAATATACAAATATGCATATTAGACGAAAGGGGGTTTAATCGCCTTAGCAACGATGCTAACCTTTTTAAATCGGTAAGTATTTTTTTGTTTAAAATGTGTTTTTTTTAAAAAAAAGGTATTTTTTTATTTAAATGTGTTCTTTCTCAAAGTTTTATGTACGAAGTATACAAATATGCATATCAGAAGAAAGGGGATTTAATCTCCTTTACAACGATAGCAACTGTTTGAAAATCGTTTAGTAATCTTTTTGTTTAAAATATTTTTTTTTTACAAAAAAAGGTATTTTTTCTTTTAAATGTGTTTTTTTCTCAAACCTTTATGTACGAAGTATGCAAATATACAAATCAGAAGAAAGGAGATTTAACCGAATTTACAACGATACCAATTTTTAAAAAATTGGTTAGTAATTTTTTTGTTTAAAATGTGTTTTTTTTATAAAAAAAGGATTTTTTTTATTTAAATGTGTTCTTTCTCAAAGTTTTATGTACGAAGTATACAAATATGCATATCAGAAGAAAGGGGATTTAATCACCTTCACAACGATATGAATTGCTTAAAAATCGGTTAGTAATATTTTTGTTTAAAATATTTTTTTATACAAAAAAGTAATTTTTCTTTTAAATGTAGTTTTCTCAAATTTTTATGTACGAAGTATACAAATATGCATATCAGAAGAAAGGAGATTTAATCACCTTCACAAAGATACCAATTGTTTAAAAACGGGTTAGTAACCTTTTTGTTTAAAATATTTTTTTTATACAAAAAAGGTATTTTTTCTTTAAATGTGTTTTTTCTCAAATTTTTATGTACGAAGTATACAAATAGGCATATCACAATAAAGGGGGTTAAATCGCCTTTACAACGATATGAATCCTTTAAAAACCAGTTCAAAATTGTCTGAAGCATTAAGTTTTCCATATTTTGAAGATCTGATCTTTGACCCGTTATAGCTCCTGTAATATTAGTTTTCACAAAAAAATTTATATACCATATAAATAAGAGCAAAAGGCGGACCACGTCTGTATTTTTACTTTTTTTGCTTTTTACATGCAATAATTAAAAATAATTTTTTACCAAAGGTCCAATTTCGAACTTCGAAGGCCCATATCTCAATTTCGGAGGCTAACTTCGAAAAACGGGGAACTAACTTTGTTTACTTATGACTCAATCTCTTTAAAAAAGTTGGTTTGGTCCAATACCCAGCCGAGTGCTGTACAGTGTTATTATAGGAGCACTAAAAAGGTGTTTAGTTAACGACCGTCTGGAGGCGGTTCAGCCTACTAGAGGGTTAAATAATTCAATTTCAACTCTCTTGATAGACACAGGAGCAGACATATCAATTATAAAAAAGGGTCAAATTGATAGTAATATTACAATTAATAATTCACAAATAACAGATTTGAAGGGCATTAGTCAAGGAATAACAAGCACTCTAGGTACAGTCAAAGCAGATTTAAAAGGAGATGATATCTTAATTAGACACACATTTCATATAGTAGAGGACAATTTTCCAATTCCATGCGATGGAATTCTAGGGTTAGGCTTTATAAAGAAATATAATTGCATTTTAGATTATCTAAAGGATGAAGATCGATTAATATTGAGACCTTACGACTTCCCAGAAAATATAATAATTCAAATGAAAAATAGGCCAACTATCAATACAATCACAATACGCTAGATCAGAAGTAATTCGACAAATTAACATAAAAACTGACAATTCTGAAATTTTATTCCCCATCAAAAATTAACAGAAGGCATTTTTATTGCTAACGCCATAGGAAATAAATATCAAACGTTTGTTAGAATCATAAACACCACAGACAAAAACGCAGTTATTCAAAATTACAATGTAAAAGCAGAAAATTTAACTGACTACATACTAATTAAAAACCCTTCAGAAAATAAAAATAATAGTAAAGAAAAATTAGAGAGACTAAATTCATTGTGCGCAGAATACATAGACATATTTGCATTAGAAACGGAACGTATTACTGACAACAATTTTTATAAACAAAAAACTACATATGAAAGATGAAACACCAGTTTATGTAAAAACTTACAGATTACCACAGGCTCACAAGGATGAAATAAATAAACAAGTAAATAAACTAATTCAAGATGATATAATAGAACCACCTATGTCAGAATACAATAGCCCCATCCTATTAGTACCTAAAAAATCACTACCAGGTAACAAAGAAAAAAGATGGAGATTAGTAATTGATTACAGAGCAGTAAATAAACAAAAAATTCGTCGGCAGCTGTGGTGTAGGGGTAAGCAGTGCGCGCTTTCACTCACCAGCACCTGGGTTCAAGCCCTGGTCAAAGCAACATCGCAAAAAATGTAGAAAAAGGTTTTTCTTAACAGCGGACGTCCCTCGGCAGGCAATGGCAAACGAGGGTATTTTTGCCATGAAAAACAGCTTCTCATAAAAATACAATCGCCGTTCGGAGTCGGCGTAAAACTGTAGGTCCCTCCGCTTTGTGTGACAATATCAAGGCGCACGCCGCAAGTTGGAGGAGAAGCTCGGCCAAACACTAACATATGTGTAAGCGCCAATCTATTATTATTATTATTATTAAATAAAAAATTAACTGCATATAAATTTCCACTTCCAAGAATTGATGATATCCTAGATCAATTAGGAAGAGCAAAATACTTCTCATGTTTGGATCTAATGTCCGGTTTTCACCAAATAGAATTGGACCCGGATTCTAAAGATGTTACATCGTTAACAGCAGACGATGGCATTTATCGTTTCAAAAGATTACCCTATGGCTTAAAAGAAGCACCCAATTCCTTCCAAAGAATGATGACTTTAGCATTCTCAGGTCTTAAGCCCTCACAAGCATTTTTATATATGGATGATTTGGTAGTATTAGAATGCTCCGAAAAGCATATGATGAAAAATCTGCGGGATGTATTTTCAGCTTGCAGAAAATATAATTTGAAGTTACATCCTGATAAAAGTTTATTTTTTAGTCAAGAAGTTACTTTTCTTGGACATAAATGCACAAGCAAAGGAATTTTACCAGATCCAAATAAATTAGAAATTATTCAAAACTACCCAACTCTCAAAACTGCTGACGAAGTCAAACGATTGGTTGCATTCTGTAACTATTACCGAAGATTTGTACCAAATTTTGAAATGGTAGAAAGTTTTTAATTAAAACTGACCATCGACCTTTAACATACCTTTTTTCAATGAAAAACCCTTCCTCCAAATTAACTAAAGTTAGATTAGATTTGGAAGAATATGACTTTGAGGTGGAGTATATAGCTGGAAAAGAAAATTATATAGCAGACGCAGTATCGCGCATAGATATCAAAAACCTTAAGGAAATTACAGTAGAAGCATGAAAAATAATGAAAGTTACGACAAGATCGGAAACTAAGCAAACAAATAGTAGTAACATTAACAAAGAAGAAAATAGAAGTCACAATGAGAACCCTGTAATATACGAAGCGCTTAATAAATATGAAGTTAAAAGACATGTCAAGCTCGTTTTTGATCCTCCGAAATTATATTTCAAAAAAGGAATTGTTGAGGTGAAAATTGACTTAGGACAATTCTTTACCAGGCTTATGAAAGAAGCCGGCAATTTAGGACTTGTAAAAATACAGTTGTCCTTAGGAGACAAATTGCTTAATTATACTCGATTAGATAAATTTATAAAAATAGGTACCAAAGTTCTCAAAAACTTAACTATTGCATTAACTCCGGAGGTTATGCATGTGACAAATATTGAAAAAATTAAAAAGATTCTTCACAAATATCACGATGATCCTGTTAATGGTGGCCACCCAGGAATCAATCGTACGACCAACAAAATAAAACAAAAATATTGCTGGAAAAATATAAAAAATTCCAATAAATGCATTAACTGTAAGAAAAATAAAATCAATACACTCCTGAAAGAACCAATGATAATAACGGAGAGACCTCCAAAAGCTTTTGATACAGTATAGATCGATACAGTTGGACCATTTCCAAAATCTTTAAATGGAAACGAATATGCACTATGATTAAATATTTAATTGCAATCCCAATAAAAAGCAAACACGCAAAAACAGTTGCTAAAGCAATATTCGAAAACTTCATTCTAATATATGGATGTATGAAAACAATCATAACAGATATGGGAACCGAATATAAAAATAATTTATTTCAAGAATTATGTAAACTTTTAAAAATTGAGCATAAATCCTCAACACCTTACCATCATCAAACTTTAGGCACGGTTGAACGCAGTCATAGAACATTCAATGAATATGTGCGTTCCTACATATCCATTAACAAGGAAGATTGGGATGAATACCTTAGATACTTTTCGTATTGTTACAATACAACACCTTCCTCAGTCCATGGTTACTGTCCTTTCGAACTAGTTTTTGGAAAAACACCTCTGACTTACGAATTCTTACAAGAAAACATAGTTAGCCCAGTATACAATTATGAGGCCTACGACCAGGGTTGCCACTGACGAAAATATATACTTACCATCTATTTAAAAAAAATCTGTAAAATATCTACCAACATTTTTTTTAGTTATTTTAATAAAAACTATAGATTTGTTCTTTGCTTAGTTATTTCAATAAAAAATTTTAGTAGGTAATTTTTGTTTAACCAATGATATTGTTTTTGAGGTCATATTTATGACATCTTCGCGGTTTCCTTCAACTAAAATCAAAAAGTTTATCAATTGAAAAAACTAGAACTGGAGTTATTGTAGACAAATACAGTGACTCAAAAAATCGCTTGGTGATTTTTTTATAATATTCACAATGTTTTTCAGCTAAAAATATTGTAATTTTATTTTTGTAAAGGAATATTGTTTGCGCTGTAACGAAAATCATAAAAATCAAGGATTAAATCTATGCATATACCATAGAATATGCATATATAGAAGAATTTAACACATTAGCGCCAAAATTTCGAACTTTTTTCTCTGAATTTTTAAAACATTTTTGGGTTTACAGTTTTTAGTCCATTGAATTTTAGTTTAACCAACAACCTAAAAATTCCCGTTGATTTAAATATTTTTTGCCACCGGACTTTTGTGTCTTTTTTTCTTTTTTAATTTATTAACTGCCATTTATAAAACCGGCGTTGATTTTTTAAAATTTTTTTTGCGGACAATCATAGTCTGTAATGACGTGCCTGTTCATTTTTTTATTTTTATTTGAAGAATCATTTAAAATATTTAGGCAATCAAAAGCTCCGCAGTATTCCAGCAAAATGAGTTTTGAATAGAACACAGTTTAAGTAAAATCCTTTAACAAAAATCTACCAAAATGAGAAAAAATTTACCTTTTTACATATATGTAATTCTTCTATATTGCTAGTACAATATGATCGCAATGAGTTTCGAAATCAAAGAAAGACAGCCTCTGAAAATTTTGTGATTGTAGAAGTATACGTGTATATTTGTAAACTACTACATAGAATGAAGTGCCATATCATAACAGGGCCGATCCAGGGAATTCAACAAACAAACACAAATTTGACGGTCTCATGTTTCCTTCACGCTGAAATGTATATCGAACCGTAGCCGCGAAATGAAGTAAGACAACTTTTTTCAATATTTAATTTTCATGCATAAACTAGGCAAACGTCAAGCTGTGAGGTTGTACTTTATTGTGCTCTGATTTTGGCTTTCTACTTACTAAGTTCATTGTGCTAATTCTGTGTTAAAGTAGTGATAAAAAGTGCTTATGAGCATCAGAGTGTGAAATAATTGAAGCTAAGTGAAAGTTATTGGTTTTATATTAAAGTAAATTTAATTAAATTTCACTAGCATACATTTTAATTTTGCCGAGTCATTTGTTGTTATCATGGTTGTTGTATCCTTTGTAGTTAACTTTCATTTTGTTTTTGCACATTTGTTCTACTATTTTTGTTTATTTGTTCTAGTAATTCTTGTCACAGCTGTTTGCGTTGCGTTTATTAAGTGTCATAATTACAGTGATACTCAAACTGTTCGCTACATTTATTTAAAGCCATTTACATCAGCTCCTTAATTGTTATAATTTATTTTGTTTGTCTTTTATTAACGAGTGTATTACATAAATCTTTCAATAAGAAGTGTGATCTTGATACTTGCCGAATTAAAAGCGATTCTGAACGCTACTTATCGTGCTGGCTGTGTGATGGTATTTACCATCTGAAATGTGCTGGTTTGACGGGAAGAATTCTGGACGCTACTAATGATGACAAGGGCCTTCGCTGGTCTTGCGTAAAGTGAAAAATATTGAAAATACTGGTTCCGTACGTCATGCGGACTGCGCACCTCGTGCGGAGGGGCGGGAATGGAGGGTAAAAACCGTTGGAATATTATTATTATTATTATTAATGCCTCTTAGAGCACCTGCATCAAAAAGTAAATTAAAATATATATATATGTACATTATTTTAGCGGTTAGGGCTCGGTATGACGAATTTCTCCGATCCTCCTTATTTGCAAATATGGAAAATTGGAAGATAGAAGATCTTTTCCTAGCAAAGACAAAACTTATTTGCACATAAAGTGGTGTGGTACTTTATATGTTGGCCGAATCCAATAAAGCACGTTATTCGATTCCAACTGATGCCAAGTACTTCTCTAACTGGTATTTTTATCCTCTGCCACCACCAACGGCCGCAGCGCTTCTCATAGATTTACAAAAATTTTATTTTTAGTTAATTTTTCATCAGAGTTGTTTTTAAATTAAAATTTGTGAAACCACATCTGAATTTCGAAAAGTAAAATTGTCATATTGAGTACATTCTCTTATCGGATCTCTCTTTCTTTTTTCAATATTTCGGCACTCTGATGTTGGGGAATGTACTTTGAATGTCCTAGCAATATAGAAGTATTACATATATGACCTTTTTACCAACCCGAGTTTTTTCTACCAATTTTATTAATAATTTGGCAAAGTCGCAACCCTGCCTACGACAAAGATATAAAATATAGGTTACAAATTGCACAGCAAAGAGCTAAAATATTAGTGCAAGAAGCTAAGGAAAGACAAAAAATTAATTATGATAGAAATACTCTAAGTAAGGAAATAAATATAGGAGATTTAGTACTAGTTAAAGACGAAACAGGTTATAAATTAGATAGTAAATACAAAGGGCCCTATAGAGTAGAAAATATAGATAAGAAAAACTATTATACTTTAAGTGCTAAAAATAAGAAAATCATAATACATAAAAATAGGCTTGAATTGCTAGAATAAGAACATTTCAGTGTGTAAGCGTAAACACAAAACTTAGAATTAACTTTCCATTTAATTACTTCACAAAAATATACTGCACGAATAAATAAATAGCTTCAACAAGAATGTTCGTTCATACCAAAATAAAAATTTTAACCGATTTTACATTTAATTATGTCATAAAAATATACTGCATGAATAAATAAACAAATAAATGAAAAAAAGACACACAATAAATAAAAGAAACTCAGCAATTACGTAAACACTTTCATGTAAAGTAAACGAACTAAAGTAATTTGTAGTTATGTCATAAACATAACATACATTTTCAATTCCAAAAGTACATTGGTACTAAATCGACATTTTTGATACAATTTTGTCAAAATACAGCGCTATGCAAAATTCTCTCGCAATACCATTGTGTATACCAGAAATTTAAATTTCTGTGGATGAAAATATCATCTTTTTCTACCTCATAGAAGTAAATACGTGGTGTTTCTTAACAACGAAAGACTTGCTACAATCAACACACAGTTGCAAAATGTTTTCTGTGAAACTTCGATTGCGTTAAACGTAACCGTTTTTTTGTAAAGTTTTTGTGTTAGGTGCACTTAATAAACATACTTGTACGCTTTTTTTGATTACCTTGATATATTTATTTGTATTAATAACTTAGAGTACAACTCCACAAACATACGTATGCTGTTATATGGGAAGAGGAGGGGGGAAGACATAGGAAAGTTGGAAAGGGTGAGAGGGTGAGAGGGTAGGAACAGGACGATGACATATATAGCGTCTTGTAGGAAAAACGCTCCGTGCTCGCCACGAAGCTCCTTAAGCGAATGATATCTATTTTCATCGAGAGTCTGGAAGGAATGCGACCCGAGGTGCTTGAACCTTAGTTTCGCAAACGCAGGACTCTAGAGCATCAGGTGTTGAGATAATTCCATACCACTATTCACCATGCAGCTCCCTGGACCGCCCCTGGTCTACACGTGGTCAGATGGACTTAGCCACC